CATGTGTTCAACATATTTTTATAAGCATTAATTTAACTTGTTTGGGTCTAAGTTGTCTGTATAGAAATTTGAAAAACTTCATTTTGGTAATTTCTAATAAACTAGGTATTAAAGCTTTACATACATACTAAGTTCCTCTAATAATATCACTCATAGCTAATCAATGACCTGAATAAAATATAGACTGTTCATAGACATCGATATATTTTGAGTCAATATACAGGGGGTCACAATATTCTGTGAACATAGAACTACTACGTATTTTATGAATCAAAATTGGACACAATTTACCTCTATAAAAAAGTGCTTCGTTTGGCCGCTAGAGGGCTAGAGAAAATTTATGTTGGGGTGGTGTTAGTTTTCACCCTTCCCGTACATTTTCTTGATTTTTGTAAAGAACAAATGTTACATCACTTAGCAAAACATAGACACCAAAAATCTCATTCAAATCGGAGTGACGGGTTTGATGCCCTCTAACGGATGAATGAAGTACTTTTGTATATTTGTAAATAGTAAAAAATATATCTATATAAAAACAAAATATAAACTAAAAGTTTATATACAGTTTCTTTTAATTACTAGACCTCATGTTATACATTTTTTTCAAGATTTGTCGTCATTAGTGTAGCTTCAAAACCTTTGTAAAAGTATTGGTAGACAGCTGTACTTCTTCCCCACCGGGTACCTAGTATAAGTATAATTAGTACATAGTATACTATAATTATATAAAATAGAAAACAAATTTCTTGCAGTATGAATGTACTTCTTCCCCACCGGGTACCTAGTATAAGTATAATTAGTACATAGTATACTATAATTATATAAAATAGAAAACAAATTTCTTGCAGTATAGGTATACAATAAAATTATATAAGGATTCTTGGCACTTAACTGCTTATATAGAAATTTAATTCTGCGCTGTGTTTATCATAATGTGGATCAACCTGCTCTCACTACCGGTTTCTGAGCCCTACTCCATCATCAGGTGAGCTTGGGCAGATCCAAAAAATGAAAACCACAGCGCAGAGATAGTTCATTCCGACTTGTCGAAAAATGTCGGTTAGATATTAAGTCCAGAACGGGAGATAGTTGCGCCCCGGTGGTATGAAAGTACTACCATTGCACGCAGGCCGCAATCTCCCGTTCGGGACTTAATATCTAACCGACACTTTTCGACAAGTCGGAATTAACTATCTCTGCGCTGGTGGTTGTCATTTTGTGGATCTGCCCAAGCTCACCTGATGATGGAGTAGGGCTCCGAAACCGGTAGTGAGAGCAGGTTGATCCACATTATGAAAAACACAGCGTAGAATTTAATTTCTATATAAGCAGTTAAGTGGCAAGAATCCTTATATAATTTTATTATATACCTATACTGCAATAAATTTGTTTTCTATTTTATAATTTCGCTTGCCTGAAAAAAAGCCTTTTACCATCCTTTTACTATCGATAGTTGCGCCCCGGTAGTACGAAAGTACTACCATTGCACGAAGGCCGCTATCTCCCGTTCAGGACTTAATATCTAACCGACACTTTTCGACAAGTCGGAATTAACTATCTCTGCGCTTTGGTTTTCATTTTGTGGATCTGCCCAAGCTCACCTGATGATGGAGTAGGACCGGTAGTGAGAGCCAGTTGATCCACATTATGACAAACACAGCGTAGAATTAAATTTCTATATAAGCAGTTTCTATATAAAAGTGGCAAGAATCCTTATATAATTTTATTATAATTATATAATAACCATATAAAATTGTTTGCGTTTCTCTGTTAATATCTGATTTGCATAAAATGGGTAGCATTCGTTCGCCAATTTATAAAAATATATCTTAGATATTACACTAACTATTTATAATGTTTTTTTTTGTAAATATTGTATGTAACAGTTATTGGATAGAAATACAATTTAACGATTTTAGAAACCGTTTTCATTTTTGCACATATTGCTTGATTGAAAAACTGACAGAAATAAAACGGACTGGGCTCAAATATTTCGCTACAAAATCAAACCTTTTTGACAAATATTCCGAATTAAAAACACACAAGCATATCAAATATATCCGACCAACCGATTTTTGCCAGCTCATTTCAACTCTTTATTTCCACATGTCGATGTTTTATTATTAAATTATACTACGTTTGATTGATCGCGCGTCAATGCTTCCATTAAAAATTCATTTTCAATCCGAATTGAAGTGGAATATAGCGATATCTATTAAATCAAAGAGGCCAATCTATTTAAAATAATTAAATTTAGCATTTGGTGGTGGCGGCATTTGCATTTATAATTTTATAAATAATTAGAATATTGAAATTCAAAATGGGGATATCCATCATTATTACGTTCCATTGTATTTTATATATAAATATTAATCAAACATATATATTATGCCAATTATTTGTGAAATTTAATGGTAAAATTGTGTAGATATACAGTCAGAAAAATACTAGAGTTCCTTATTTTACGCAGCATATTTATGAACGGTTTTGCATTTAACACCAGCGACTAATTTCACGCGAAATTGGAAAGGTTTATAATGGAACATTGTTCTTTTTAGAACCTCATTTAGTGCGAAGTGGTACAAGCTAGCTTAATAGCCGTTGCAAAAAACTCATTGTAATCTTATTAGAATATTTTGAACGGAAAAGCTGTAGTAATGGCCCTTTATGTTTCTTAAGTGCTTTTACGTTTTGTCGATGTAAATAATGTCAGTTTATATATTTATTTATTATAATGTTTCTTAAAATATTTTGATTAAAAGAAAATACACTTACCGGCACGAAGAACGGGCACCTTAAAATTTTGATGTATTATAAAGTTTAATATATTTTGTTCTGGTCAGCCGATTTTGATGATTTTTTAAGCAATTGGTAGCTAAATTATTTGACTTTGTGTCTCTTTTTAAATTAAAAATAAAGGTTTCCATCTGTCAATTATACGAGGGAAAACAAAATATTGTTAACAAAGCAAGGGATTTAAACATTATTTTATCATCTAGGTGTATCCTTTCTCGATAGTTTGTTTTTTGATTTCTGTGAATAGCTTTATTTTTTTGGGGATATTCGCATTTGAAAAAGATAGACTTTTTTTCGTATTTTTACATTAAAACCATGCCTTTGCTTTTGGTGCTAATAGTCAGGAGACGTATAAAAAATGCTTATGATTTATGTAATGTTACTGTTTTTTAAAAAAAAGTCATATCATTATTGTCTGTTGGGACTCGTTAGATATGGTTTTTTATTGTCGTTACTCTAACATATATGGTTTTAAGTCCAAAAGTTGATCTCTACCGTGATCAATTAAAGTAAATAGCAATAGCCGATAGTTCAGAACTTAAAATCATCTCTACTAGAGTAAACCTTAATAAACAATTATAATATGACTTTTTAATTTCATTATAAAAACTATTTTATAAGTGTGTTGTTGAGGATCTAAAATCAACGCTAAAATTGCTGTATATCCTTATAGTACGAGAGCTAGCAACGTCGGAAAAACAAGTATTTTAAGACGTCTGGCTCTTTGATATATCTTTTACTAAGCTCCCTAGAACAGCCTGCGGCCCGTCTGGCTGCCGGTAAACGTTGCGTTCCTTACTGCGCATTCAAAGAAGATTCTATATTTTTATTAGTCCTTTAAATTTTAGTATTGAATATAAATCGAACATGTCTCCATAGCACAGTGCGTAGAGTTTCCGACCACTTGAATGAGTTTGAATCCGGGTCAGGAAAAGCAAAGGCTTTTTTATTTTATTTTCGTTTATATTCCGTTAGTAAAGTATTAAATGTTTTTTTTTAATTACCAGAATTATTTAATACTTTACTATCAGAATATAAACGAAAATAAAATAAAAAAGTCTTTGACCTGACCCGGACTCGAACTCTAAATCATCGGTTTGTGAATTCACTGAGCTATGGAGACATGTTCCATTTATATTCAATACTAGAATTTATAGCACTAAATTAATAAAAAATATAGAACTTTCTTCCGATGCGCAGTAGTGAACGCAACGGATATTGGCAGCCAGATGGGACGCATGCTGTTCCAGGGAGCATAGTAAAAGATATATCAAAGAGTCAGACGTCTTAAAATACTTTCTCGAAAACGTTGCTGGCTCTTAGACAGTTGCTGTCTTATTCAAAGTGAATATCTCTAATAAAAACAAAGCTATTGGGATGAATAAACAAACAAACTATCGAGAAAGTATGTATCTAGATGATAAATTGATTTTTAAATTCCTTGATTTGTTAACATATTCCACAGAGTGTTTCAAACTTTCACCAAAATAACTACATTTTGTTTTTCCTGGTATAATTGACAGATGGCAACTTTCATTTTTAATTTAGCAAGAGGTTCTAAAAAGTCAAATTTAGCTACAAACTGCTTAAAAAATAATCAAAATCGACCGACTAGAAAAAAAAAAGTATTGAACTTTAAAATACCTCAAAATTTTAAAGTGTTCGCTTTTCGTACCGGTCGGTGCCGGCAATGCTGAGCAGGGTTCGGAAAACTACATTTTACTTTTAAAAACTACATAAATTACATTACATGTAGTTAATGTAGTTTATGTAGAGGGTGTAGTTTATGTAACATATGTATGTAACTTTCAAATGTCAAAAATTTGAGGTGAGGTTATAATAAGTTGAAGCTTTAGAAAACATATAATGTATTTAAGAAAACAGAAGAAATATGGTTTTAAATATAACCATTCACATCATATTATTTATACTCCTCATACAAAGCAAAATTATTTATAATATTAATAGGTAGTATATTAACGTAGTTTTCATGTAGTTAATGAACGAGAAAAGACGTAGTTTTTGAAGAAAAACTACACGTAGTTAATCAGGGAAATTACTTCTTAATTAACTACTTCCGAACCCTGATGCTGAGCCGTTCATATCATTATTTTATCATCTATATAAACAAAATTTGACATGCAAAAAGGTTCATCATCCCTGGATAGGAGGTAACCAAACTACACTACTGAAATGAAAGACGATTTTACACAAAATAAGTGAAGCTTTATTTTACAGATTCAGTTAATACATGTTATAATTCAAATAGAGCTTAATATCCATAGAAAGCTAACAATATATCGTTTGGAATCTATTACACTATGAGAAGCTTACAGAGTCGGAAACTCCGGAAAACCTTTTCAAAAACGATTTCGTAAGGACCATATTCGTTGTTGAAAAGTTTCCAGCCACAAGAAAATCTATGACGAAAAGCCTCGGAAAATTTACCAATAGGCGGAAGGCTGATTTGTTGTTTTAGGGCTCTCTGGTATGGTAGTGGGGGGGGGCGAGTTTTTGTATGAAAAATGAGTGGGGAGAGTTGAAAGGATTTTATATACACAGGGTTGAATATAAATTGAAAAATGAAAAGGAACTAAAGTATACCAGTTCATTTTCTTATAAAAATCTAATGTGTAAAGCTTTAGCACGTTTATAATACTGATTATCCGTCTGTCTGCTTTTTTTTGTAAAATCCATTGAATAAAGAAAGAGTTCTATTTTTATATGGTTAAATTAAATACGGGAATAACTTTTCTTTTGGCCATTTTGAATTTTTACTAATTTGTTACCAGCGGTTCTTTGTGCTTATTTTATATTTTTTTCCAGTTTATTTTGTAGTGCGTTTTATGCACAATATATAAATCTGGATATTTTCTGTTAGGATTTGAGTTACAGAGAATTTATTAAGAATAATAGAAAAACACTTCAAAAATAGTTACTTGCGCAGACTGTAAAATGTTTTTCTTTTAGCATCAAACTGCTCTTCTTAAGCCAAAATTCAAATCAGCTATACTGACCCGTTTGGTGCCTTGTCAACTTTTTGTTTTATTCAATGGTTAAACCATTGTGAAAGTTAGTAAACAATGGAGTAGGTCAAAATCTTTTTAATAATAAAAAAAGAAAAATTGAAAATTTTTAGTTTCAAATATACCGGGTGTGTCTCAAAAGTGGCTCGCCCCTGTAATTTTTTTATTTTTTATAAAGTAAAAATATACCGACGATGCCGTTTAAATATTAAAAGTTTTAGTCATTTCCAGTGAAACAAGAAGTGACCAAAAAGAATTGAATACTGATAATAAAATAAATATGTAATCGAAAAAAAGGTAGTAGACGTTATACCTTTTTAGCTTAGATGTTACTTTTAAATTTTTGACAGTGAAACTGATTCTATAGTTTTCTATTCCACGAAGTGGAATTTAACCAAACATGAAATAATTTCAGTCAAATTTTAATTACCCTGTATATTTATGACATACAGAACATCATATAGTTGGAGGTCACTTTTTTAAGTAATCATAGAAAAATTTAAATTCTAGCAAATAGACAAACATTATTTTGTCATTACTAGAGTACATTTTGATTAGATTGAGGAGGAATGAGCATAAACACTATTTCCTAAAACAACAAATTCATATTAATAATCCGCATAATATACACATATATTATCGCTTAAAATATTATATTATTACATCGATGAAAAGATATGTGACAATTTAAACATCATAGTTTACCAATTTCAAATTTTTAAACAAATATATTATATTATATACATTTTCACCAATTAATATTGATGCTTCTTATTTCTATAATTTTTACTCCTTAGGCCCAAAACTAAACAAAAAAACAAATTTTCTAATTATAATTTAAAAACATTGAATAGTATTATGATTTATTTACCATTTTAACAAATTCCAATCTCTTTTTACTGTCCCAAATTTGATGTAGCTCAAGAGAAACATTTCAGTTAGTCCATAGCACTCAATATATTATTATATAGTTTCAAGAGATTATATTTCCTTACCTTCGAAATTGAGTTTCCGCCTGACTTGCGGTCCATTATCCTGTTAATTATATTTTAATTTTTAATTGGTTATTTTAAACTTTTAAAGCAAAGTTTATAAACATTTTAATTTAAGTTTTTTTGCTTCTGACCTAGGAGAATCACATCCGTTAAAACTAAAAAATAATAAGTAGTAATAACTATGAAATAATAATACAATTGCAAAAAAATATAATAAAAGTATCATGATTTGGTTTGTTAGATTATGAAAAAAAATATTACAATTTTGAAAAAAAATTATTACGATTTTTCTCTTTATATTTTAGTTTCCTGATTTAATGAAGAAATATCCAAATATTTTCCTATATACAGGGTGCCAAAAAACAGTGTATCTAACTTCGATGGGTGATTCTACAGATAAAAATAAAACAGAACGTTCCTATGAAGGCACTACAAACATTCATGGCAAACCTGTTAATTATTTTTGTTTATACATATGTTTATACCTACTTGTGTACTCAATGTATTATTTTTTTCGATTTCAACTAAACGCAATTTTTATTCTTTTATATGTTTCTTTAATTTTAAATACTTTTTCTTTATTCTTTTATCTTTTATTTGTTGACAAATAATTTCAAAAAATTATTAAATTTTAATTCTTTTATGATTCCATTATGATGCCCACTTTTATGATTCCATTTGTTTGTTTATGGCGATGACGACCAGCCTGCACATATAAGAAATTGAGTAGGGCTCTTAAGAGCACCAGAAACACGGGGAAAGAAATGAATGATAAAGGAAACAAAAAATCAATCCTTTTTGGAACCAAAATTAATTTAACTGTTATACCCGTTAAGTTTCTGTTCGTTCTTCTGTATGTGTCTTAGTGTTGGCGGTTGGTATTGCCATGAATGTTTGTAGGCATATGGATTAATATATGTTTTGGGTAAGTGGCCAATTAATTTTGTTTTGATATTTTTTAAAAAAATGCTTTTTCTATAGTGCCTGAAGAAGCGACAATAAAGTCGCGAAACGTCGCAAAAATATTGTTTCCTTTCGAGCCTTCCCAAACACCCACGATTTTTTTTTCTGCGTACTAACTACTAGAAACTAACAATAATCATAATGTTCCTATGAACATATGCTCTAAAATGCTTCCCAACAAAGTTACAACCCTCGAAATAAAAATAGTATATTTTCTTTATTTTAAAGAAAATTGGTCAACCATTTTTTTGAGATTTCCTACTCTTACTTTAAAATATTATGAAATTATATAAATTAATTAATCTTAAATAATACTAAAATTGATGCATCGTAATCTTTAAACGCAAATATCTTGAAAACCATTCAACGTTTCGAACTAAACGAAGAGCATCTTTTTTACGTAGAAAAGTCCTAGCCTCCTAAATATATACGGACAAAAGAAGAATCAGCAGTAGTACTATCTACCCTAATGGAAAGTACCCTTTCAGGGCTGTTACGGAATTTTGCACTATCGCCATTCGCTTTGTTCGCTAAAAACAGTTTACCAATGTTCCTAAAAAATAAACAAAATATATTATTTTTATTTACCCATTTCGAGGGTTGTAAAGGCAAATATACATGTGAAAATTGCAAAATATATTTTGGATAACTTTTATAGCTTCAAAAAGAGAATAGTATTGTTATACAACGTATAAATAATTGTTTAATTAAAATTCCGTGAAAATAAATTGCTGGTTTTGATTAAATAGAGCTATACAATTCTGAATTAGAGAAGCTTTCAATTATCTACAAAAAGCACATTGACTGTAAGGGAAAATAAAATCAGTCACATCCAGAAAATAACGCAATTTTAATTATTGTTGACGAGTATTAAATAAAATGTTTTTCCTACAAAATTTTCACAATAAATAAATGAAAATACGCAAACATCTACAGTACGTCGATCGATTCTGTAGCTATGGGGCCCCCTGTAAGGGTGGAAATAAAATTCTCGCACAACAGGAAATTCATGTGAGTGCCATAAATATTTTAGATAAGTTACTGACCTATTTAAACAAAAAATTTTAAAATATCCAATTAGTTTTATTTTTTCAAAGTTTTTCCACGTAAATGAGACATAAGGTTGTCGCCCACTAGGCCGCGGCGCGGCGCGGCGCTGGGAAGGGATTTTTTTCCGGCTGCGAAGGGACTGCGCCCACTATAGCGCGCTTCTAAAACGCCGAAACGCTATTTAGCTAGTCGAAGTGTTTTTTCCTTACTGCAGTTTAGTTTTTAAAACAATGAGTTCAAGTTCGGGCGGAAGTGTATTTTTTGTGCTCTTCTAACAAACGAAGTGGAAGAGCAGGTGAAAAAGAAAAGGAAAGTTTGGACTCATAAGATCAATAAAAAAGAGTTATGAGAATTTCACCACCTTTTACCTAATTTAATAAAATATAAGAGCAATTTTTTTGGCTTACGGAGCTTTTATTAGCTTTTTGAAATGGAAAATGTTATGCATTAAAACCAAATTAACAAAAAATGGACTTTCATCGTTTTTCCGTCTTCTCTTCAAATGATAAAGGAAAAATTTTACGAACTCCTCAATTGAAGGTTTTAGAAACAAAACCGGCTATCTCCACTCATAATATTTTTTTAGAAGAGACAAATTTATAATAAGCAATAATGAATCGCTTATAGCTGACGACTTTTGATAATTCTTATTTATTCTGATGTATATATTAGTTGTTTGATGAAAAATCCCTAATATTTTTGATATTTTTAGGTAATTAGAAATTGGAGATTGTCACTTTTGTTAAAAAGTGGAGATTGCCTGTTGCTTCTACACCAATTATATTAAATCTTTGATATTAAAACATTAAAACTCTAGTTAGGAAAGACTAAAAAAAATATCATATTCCTTTATAAAACTCTGTTTGCTTGATTTACCTTTAAAAAATACAATTCTACCATTGATACGTATCACTAGTTCCCAGTCAAAAAGCCAATTGAAGAGATTCTAGATGCAAAATTACTTCCGTGTGTTTCAAGTTCCAATGTGCGTTGGTCCGTTTAAATACATGGCAAGCAGATTAAAGAAATTTCCAGGTGGCGCCGCGCCGCGCCGCGCTCTAGTGGGCGACAACCTATAATCATTATAAAATTTAAAAAAATTAAGATCAATAAAATCACGTAACAGCATCACCGATAACTATTGCTTTGTTCTCCAAGCTCGGTCTGCTGCCGTTTTAATCGATGTTTCTCGTAAAAAACTAGACGTCGGGTCCCGCCAATAAAAATTTGTCAAATTTGCAAGCAGCCAATATAATGAGTGGGCGGATTTTACAGGATTACCGGTGACATACTCGTCAAGTCCACGTGGACTCTCTACGCTTGTATATAGGTAGCGATCTATAAACTATATTGGTGTTTATTTAAATGTATTTTGTAGTAAATTGATCATACTCCAATATGTGTCCGTATTTTTAAAATTAATTTTATAGACACAAATCCAGTAGACGTACTTTATATGTAGGTACTAAAAGCAGAAAATGTAAATGTTTTATGGTATGATCGAATAAAAACGGCGTCCAGTTGGCTTGGAAATGAACATCGATGACATTCCCTATATAATTTTACATGGAAAGTGAACAAAGAAGTGTTAGTTTTAAGTGTTACATAAGAAATGACAGCGATCGTCATTTCATAGTCATCGTTGACGCCGTTTTTTTATCATGCTGTAGTATAGTGTAGTGGGAGAAGAAAGTTTATACATCCTACTTCTCCTCTTAATCTGTAATGCTTTTATTAATTTTACTTTTTCACGCTATTTTTTGCTTTTCAGTTATTTTTTACTGCTCTTATTTTTTTATTAGCGTTTTTTATTCGTGTTTTAATGTTTGTCCGTCATCATAAATTACAAAAGAAAGGAGAAATAGGATGCAGAAACCCCCTTCTTCCTTTACTTAGTGTTAATATTATACTAAAATTAGTTTTAGGCCTAATTATTAAATGAAGATTATCACTGTCGATCATCGTTAATATTGTCTTAAAAATTCTTTTTTATTTTTCAATTTATTTTGACCACTACAAGTTTGGTGGTCCCTCTGTAAGAAAAGGTCCGTACCATTTGCCGTGGTACTTAGATATTTCTTTTAATTGAAATCTGACAAAGGGTATGCATTTCATGGTTATGAACAAAGTTGACCACTATTATTTCCTGGCCAAATTTTGTCGCCAAAGTTACAACATTTATCTGATATAATGCTTGTAATGCTACTTATTGACATTGCAAAAATATTCTGATTAATATTTTTAGTTATGGTTATGTTAGTTGTATGTTTATATATGACACCGTTCATCTATAGATATCTTATTCTTTAGAGACAATAGATTATCAAACACAGAGTTACCCTTAATGTTAACATTGTAATATATTATGAGTCGTATTATGTTTTAGCAACCAACTCTACAATAATATGACATTGATAGGAAAGGACTAAATCATAAATTATAGTACATGTTTAAACAATAATACAATATATTTTATAACTTTCTCTTCTTAATTAACTTAATTCCAGTATTTGTTTAAGAATTTAGGAAAACAGTTCCTAGAACTAGTAGCAAAAAAAAATGTAAATACTACATATAATAATTTAATTAAAATAAAAAAAGTTTAATTTCTCATGCAACAAAGAGTATCCGGAATCTTAACTATGCTCTAAATCTTGCAAATCATTTACGATAATTTTTGAAAGTAGATATTTTAAAAGATGTTTAAGTCAACCGAATAAACTGGAAGACGAATTTCTAAAATATAAAATATTTTTTTGGATGTAATAATTAAAATTCCGGTTTGTGGTGAAATTAATTTCGTAATCTTTGTAATCTGTTTATGGTCAAGTCATCAAACCGTGCAGTTTCTGTAAGTTGGTAATTGTTGTGAAGTCATCAGGCTGAATTCGAAGGGCTTCCTTGTAGCAGTGTTCAGCTTCTTTGTATTTTCCGTTCAAATGCAACATGGCACCTAAATTTGTATGGCCTCTTGGATCCTGTAAAAGAAAAGAAATAGTTAAAGAATAAATAGATAAAGTATATCTTATGGTAATTTAATCTTAAAATTACTAACATAAATAAATATGGTGCATATTTACAGAACATTTTACAGAAATTTTAGAATCTATTTTATTTAAATATAATCACCAGCGGTATTAGTATATACTAGAGATAGTGTAGAACATCGCAAACTGCGATTTAATCTGTTTAAAAATTCTGTTTACGGTTATGACTAATTATAGTTGCTCTCAGGTATAATTCAGATTGTTTAGATTTAAATAATACGATGGTTGACAGAGCCCTATTCCTTTTTTCCAGAGTCGGATTTGTTCTAATATTTATTTATTGATGATGATTTATTATTTTCAGAGTCTTTTATAATTTATTTTGTATAAAGTGTTATATATCTATATTATTTTGAAAAATCTAGGAACTAGTGGGGTTGCAGTCGGAAGGGTTTGACAAAGAATTAATACACTTTGTTAATTGTCAAGCTTTCGGAAATTATTTATTCCTTCCTCAGGACACTAAAATGCAAATACATGTTATGAACAATTATTGCTCTAAAACTTACTTGACGTGGTACAGAAAAGACCTTCATAAAAACTACATTAGAAAACATTGCTCGTGTCGATAACTCCACCGTGAAGCATCGCTGACCAGTCAACCACAAAAAAGGGGGAAGAGGGCTCTTATAGGGCGGTTAAGCCGCCTGATATTTATTTAGAACATTGGAATAATTAAGAGATGTGCAATTAAAAATTAAAAATTCAATTGCGTCTCAATCTAAGGCGTGAAGGCGCAAAGCAACTGACAGGCGACAACCGCGACATCCATCTGTCAATGGTCAATTGTCAAACGTCAAGTCTATAAAAATGATCTATGGATGCCGAACAGGGCTGTGGCATGTCAATTATTATATTCCTGTAAAAATTAATAGTGTGGGTGGTCATGTAGAAAAGTGGAGTGATCAAGGCACGCACACTTATAAAAACATTTAATAAACACCCTTCCTCGTGCAACGAGAAAACATAGGTGGTCATATACAATTACATTTACAGTCAAAAAAATGTCACCAAATGTCTCCAACCAGAAAAACATTGTGCTCAATTCAAAAAATTTTCTGTATGCAATTGTACAAACATTAAGATGTACTGAAATTTAAAAAAGGAAAAAGAGGTACATTAAAAATAGTTAGAAAAGGCTACATGTAAAATAGTTAATGACGACAACAATTATCGACAGATATTTTTTTAAACTTATATCGACAGACACGACAGTAAAAGTCAGAAAAATCAATTTGCAAAAATTTTTAAAAATATTTTATGTAAATATTGGTAACATTTTACATGGGGTATAAAACTTCCAAAAACACTCTGTAGAGGGGGGAACAAGAAACATCAATAATTGAGACTCAATTGAATGACAAAAGTAAAAACAATATGCGGCTTGGACAATCCAAGAAAAGGCAAGTTGCTAGTTGTTCTGCTAGTTTGGTGCATTTGTCTTGGTGGAGTTATCAACACGAGCCATGTTTTTTAATGTAGTTTTTATGAAGGTCTTTTCTGTACCACGTTAAGTCAGTTTTTATTCTTAACTTTTAGAGCAATAATTGTCTAACATGTATTTCCATTTTAGTGTCCCGAGGAAGAAATAAATAAATTCCGAGAGCTTGACAATTAACAAAGTGTATTAATTCTTTGGCAAACCCTTCCGACTGCAACCCCACTAGTTCCTAGATTTTCTTTCTCACTAGTTAGTCGAGACTACTTTCTGCCTATATTATTTTGTCTATTATAGAGTAGATGAATTAATAGCAACATTTGAATTTAATTAAAAACATACTTATGAGCAGTTTTTTAGATTCAAGTTATAAAAATTATCAATTATTATTTTTTATTAACTAGATTATACAATACTAACATTATAGTAAGGAATCACTGTTAATATTGGATACGTTTTTTAGCCATTTTTGTTTACTATATTTTATTATACAGGGTGGTTCGAAACGTATTCCGGAAACTTTGGCAGCATATTCTGCAGATAAAAATAAGTAAAAAAGTTCGTATAAATGTATGTCCTAAAATGCTTAGTTTCGGAGATACAGGGTGTAGACGTTTCATTTTTATTTCGATTTCTTCCAAATAATTTCTGAAATAACTTCAATATTTAGATCAAAATTGGTATCTGGGAGTTTTTCAACATGAGAAATTTGATTTTTATGTCAATATGACTCCTACTTGTAGAGGGCGCCACGTACATATTTTCTAACTGGTTTGAAGAGTAATAACTTTTCGTCCACACCTGTATAAAACTACTGGGTAGAAAAATATACAGACAGAATGTGCTTTACGTAGAAAAGGTCTCTTGGTAAAAATCGCTACAAGCAATAGTTTTCGAGATATTTGGAATCGAAATTACCAGTACCTGTCGTCATTGACATAAATAAACATGTGGACTAAATAGTTGTTAGACAGAAATCATAAATTTGAAGTGCTTTTGAGCCAAAAATCCGACTATTTTATCATCATTTTTCGAAGAAAAAATTATGATTAATTTAAGAAAAACAAAAAGTTCCAAAATTTACCATTCCAGACTTGTTTATTTTTTGTCAGTAATGACAAGTATTAACTATTTCCATTCTAAATATCTTGAGAAAGGTTGCCCGTAGCGATTTTTACCACAAGACATATTTTACGTAAAAAATCATATTCCTTTACAGTACCTATATTATTTAAAATCGTAAGTCAGGGAATTCAAAATGTCTTGTTTTTCAAATTAATGTTTTTTTTAGAAAATATGCGATAATTGTTTTGAGTAATTTACGTACAACCATCTATCAGTTTACACCAAGTTACAGTTGAGCGTTGGAACCTTTGGTGTTACAGAGCAAAATAAAAACACTAAATCACCACAATACACGTAAAAGTAAAAGTGTGTATTGTGGTGATTAAGTGTTTTTATTTGATTATAACAAGTTATAATCATCTGCTGATGATGCTAAGATGGTTAGCGAAGTGAAGCGTCCAGTGAAGTAAAAAAAAGTAAAAGTATTTTGGTGTATTGTGGTGATTAAGTGTTTTTATTTTGCGGTTTATAGGTATAAAATACACTCAAAATTAGTTAAAAATTATAAAGGATTTTAAAATCGATATTAATAAAAGTCGGGATAAAAGTCCATCATTGACCTATTATTCCGTATAAAATATTTTCACAACAATGAATAAAAAATGTAATGGACAAGTTTAATTATAATGAAGTCCTTTGTAAATATTAAACTACCAAATACCGATAAAAACGAACTCACTTTAACGATAAAAAACCTCATTTTAACGATAATGAAAGCAAAATTAAAATTACGCTAATAACAAACTCATCTTTGACAGAACGTTATTAAATTAAATGCGTCAGACAATGGTAATTACTGAATTGCGTGCTTATACACCTGTTGGGGGCAAAAATGTAGTAGTAAAAATAAACGTTCCACGTGTTATGAACAAGGGCAAAGAAAGATAAGTAATAGGGCAAACTTTCCGGCATAAATTAAGACGAGGTAACAAAAGTTACGGGTTAACCATATAAGTAAAAAGAGAACACGAAAGCTTTTCCCGTCTTTGTACTTGTTATAATTTTTTCATAAAATAATACACAGGAAGGCGCCTTAAACAGCTACCACGCCTTCCATTTTATATTTAATGTATTAAAATAAAAACAGAAGATTCTTTCTTTAGTTTCTTAAATAAAAGTATATAGGCAAAGAAAATGGTTAAAATTAAAACTATCTAACTAGAAAAGGAGCGAACACTTATGGACTGGACCAAAACCGTTATGCTTTCTAAGCAAAAACCAGCTTAAAGCGGAACTGAAGAATCTGGAAAACTCCATCCCGAACCTTTAATGGAAATCCTCCAACGGTCTAAGACACTCGAAAAATATTTTCCTTGATTTAATTAAGAATAATTTCGGATTATCACTGGGTTTCTAACATGATACTGTCTCCTCAACGAACACTTCAGTAGATTGAAGCTGAGAAACAACGGCGAATGCAGATTCTGTGGGGAAAATGTGGGGAAACACCAGAACACCTTATCAGTGAGTGCGCCGACACGACAACCGTTCGTGCCATAAACTTTGGTATGGCTCAAGAACAATTAACCTAATAGGACTGCTCATTCAGCCAAAAGTGTCTGCCAGGTGCATGCGAAAACTACTCGCTTTGTGACATGTCATGGTAATTATTCCTTATCCGGCAACCAATAATATAACATTGGCCATAGTCTTCGAGCTGTAGCGCAGTCCTCACGGTGTTGCCACGTCTCTTGCTGCTTGGCCTTGATGGCAGTTCCTATAGCTTCCTTCAGTGTGTTGATCGTCACAAGTGGTGGGTCATCTGCCACGGCCTCTCCCCTGGCACGGTCTTTGTCGAGTCTGTCTGCTTCCTGATTGCCCACCACATTGCTGTGGCTTAGCACCCAGCACAGAGTAGCCCCGCCCTGACGCAGCCAGGACAGTGCTTCGCGGCATTCCATCACGGTTTTCGATCTCACTGATTGCATGGTGATGCTTCTTAAAGCGGCCCAGCTGTCAGAGTATATCACGATATCCCGTATTGGTCTATCCGCAATTTTCTCTCGTATACAACTAGCCGCTTCCTGTGGTGTTAAGCCACACCCAAATTCCAAACACACGTGCTTTGATTAAGGCTTGATTAAGGTTTGCAGAGCTTCAACATTTGCCATAAAATAGCGAGCAATTTGTTATAAAACTATATACATTATATATCACTGTAATCACAAAACTTCAGTCTATTTCCGTATTGTAACGGAATTTTAAATTATGTCTTTATTTTCGAGAAAATTTCGTCCAAACATAAGGAATATTTTGTTGATGTTTGACCATCAAAATCTTAAAAATAAAAAAGTTGTCTGAAAATGTGCTACAATACGGATCTAGTACAATCCTTCATCTTTAATTTACTTCTTCATTTGTGTCGTTC